TGACACGAGCAAAGATGGTAGCTAGGACGTCGCCAGGCACTGTTGGCCAGCTTATATCTGGATTTGCTTCTACAAGCGTATTAATCTCTGCCTTTGTTATGTTCTATTATGTCCTGTCAGTCTGCCTTAGGTGAGTGTCGATGTATAGCCGTACATAAAATCTGTCCTACTGGAGCTTGTCATGTCCCGCTCGCATTTGCGCCTCGTGTGTCTTAGCGCCCTTCTTGAGCTTAAATTCCAACATCGCTTATGCGTAGCAGGCAAGCTGACGTCTGTTCAGGTTGTCTAGGTTGTCTAGGTTGGCAGGGGTGCGGGGTTCGCGCGGTGTTAGATTTGACTGCAGGGGCGGGCTCGCTCGTTACATCCGAAGCCCGTGCACACGCGGCATAATCTCAGGCATAGTCTGGTTACAGAAGGAACGTGCCGAAGCCTCTTGGAAACGGACCCACCTCTGCAACATTCCCACGCAGCGCTACCCGCGCCTAAGATTCTCTCTATGGTCTTTCCTTGCTAATCACTAAGGCTCAGCATCCGTAGTACTAAGTAGAGCGTCCTTCCTACCGTGAGCAAACAGAAATAACATTGATTAACTAACGTTATCTAGGTACTATTATACATTAAACTTTGTTCGTTCCGAGTTTACAAAGCACTATAGCTATATATCTGAGGCGGCGTCCTCGCCGTCATCAGATTTGTGCTCGGTATTAATATCTATCTCCTCGTCCTGCTTCTTCTTCCCCTTATCGTGCCGCTTTTTCGTCTCCATATTGTGCTGCTTTTCTATTCCCTCATCCTTCGGGAACAACCATGGGTAGGCTTCAAAATCCTCCGATGTTAAAGGTAACCTTGTCTTGGGATTCTTTTTTTGTGCCTTGCACGCCTCAAACAACAGCTGTCTCTTATAGTATTCTGGAACGAGCCGGTTGAAGTACTTGTTGTCAGCCCAATTTCTTCTGCCACAGAGCTGGTAAAATTCACTTCTGGTTAGCCAGTCAGTCTCGTCGATCTTCAGATACTTGACCCGGATGTATGTATCCGGCTGACGCTCCTTTACGCCGGTGCGGCGCTGGTAGCTCTCCGCGCGTGGCATGACGACACATGGACCGATTTTTACATTCTCGAGGTCTTTAAAGTCTTTCTTTCTTTCCTTGAGATTGAAATTCATCTCTTTGTCTTGCGGCATACCTGCAGCAGCTCTGGGGCTAAGGTTACTACCTTTGACAACCTTGAAGTACTCACAATTTTCGTTGTCATTCAGACCAGCGTTGATGATGAAACGATGGAATCTCGGGTTATCGGAAACAGAGGGGCGAATTGCTACCACGGGTCTGTCTTCTGTTATACCATCTTTGTATACAAAAGGCTTAATGCAATTTTCGCTTAGCGAGATTGAGTTTATGTCTACATCAAGAAGATTCGTTGACCTAACAAGAGATTTTGGAATACTAGGGGCAGGACGGGGGGCAGGACTGGGGGTAGGATCAGTAATATCACTAGGTCTGTTGGATATCTCAGAATTGAGCACCTCTTCAGGTCGTTCTTCTGTATCGATGGCAGCTAGAGTGGCTTCTGCGGGCTTTAGAATCGCAAGTTGCTCCCGCAATTTCTTAATCTGTTTTTGCACCCCGTCTGTGTTCCCGTTCTTATATTAGTTGATCATCTCTATTATGATCCCCTCGGGTAAACAGTTGACGTCTTTACTAATGCTGTTGACCTCATTAGACTCCTTTAAATTCATGTTATGTGTCTTGATCGTGTCTAGGCAAGTTTGTAGTCGATTATCCAATTCTATAGAATTATCTTGCAGCATATGAACAAGATTATATACAGCGGGGGATGCTTGTTCCTATGCATCATTCTGCTGCCATGTTAGGTGCTCGATCTAGGTTCTTAACTTCTTATAGAGCTCTTAGTACTGACCTGACGAATCCTTAAACCTGAGGAACCTCTTTTTTGCTTCTCTAGTCATGATGTCGGTTACCGCAATGCCGAAGTCCCTCTGCGTCTCTTCCATGAAGACTATAACCCCTTGAAGGAATCTTTCTACCTTTTGATAGTTAGGCTGCTTATTTCGACTGACCTCGGAGAGCCCTTTATTGAGCTGAGAGATAGAGTTGAAGAGTCGCTCTGCGGGGAATTTATACTTGTTTATTATCTCCTGTTTGGTGAGTATCTCTAGTCTGAGCTCGATTTTGAATTTCTTCGAAATTTTCTCTAGCTCGTTATTAATATTATCTTCTAAAGCGTTGGGATTTCGAGTCTTAATAGCCCGCTTCTCGCGTGCTTGCTTCTTAGGCCACTCTTGGTAGTACTTTGTTGCGGCTTCCCTCTGTTTAGGTGCTGATACGATGCGTTCGACGTGCTTGCTAATCTTCTCGTTGGCTTTATTGATTATCTTTTGCTGGGTTGGAGGTATGGTTTTTGAAGTCTTTAGCTACTATTGTTTTACAACCTAATAATGACTCTGCTAAATTTTCTGTATTTCTGCTGGGAGTGGAGAGGGCGGTTCGCGTGCCTTGCGGGCCTTAGCATATCTGCGTGTTCCTTTATTCTTAATTTGTGCCTTTAATTGTTGATCCTTTTTATCTCTGCGTGCCTTTGTCTTAGCTCTATGCTCCTTCATTGCTTTAGGGTCTTCGTAGAGCTTCGCCTTCCTGGTTTGTTTTTCTTTCCTCTTCGTCTCGGCTACTGATATGTCCTCGTTGGGGTCAGCTTCGGAATCAGAGTCTCCCGAGCTTATAAAGTTATCAGTCTCATCTTCTGATTGATGAGAAGCACGATTATCTTCAGAGTCCGCTTCTTGCTGAACAAGGTTGTCGCTTCGCGTTCCCTCGATGTTGTCGGGCTCGTTTTCTACCGTCGCATCGGTTGCTTTGGCCTGAGCTATAGACTTTTCATTCTTCCTCGTGGATGTTTTGGTGTTATTCTTTGCACGCAATTCGCCTTGGCGTGAAGATTTAGCTGGATAGGCAACTTGCGTGGCCATGGTGTAAGCTTCTTGTGTTGGTCCTGACGTGTGTTACAATGTGTAGTAGTGGATGTTGAGACCTGCTCAACGTTGGGTATTGGTTTCTGCTGCATTAGTAGCCGGCACGCGAGTGAGTTTTATAGAAACACCGTTCTAGAATGTTTTGCGTTGTGCTGTAATCGAGACACAGAAGCTAGTAACCGAATGGGGCTGCTTGGCACCTAATACTGGCGTAGGAAAACTGTATTGTACCTCCTTGATCCGCAACCCGCTTCCTAGTTACACTGTTCCCAGACACCCGCATCTGAGCACGCAAGGGTGCGCTGCTTAAAAAGAGACTTGGGCCGTCTAAAAACTATACAGAGAAAATAGCTAAGCTTTACTTTCTACTAGCGTATTTTAGCACCGTTGTGCTGGCTGCTACAACGTGCGTTACTCCGCCCTCCCTACAGGTGACCTCAGAGCGAGATTTAGCCGCATCGCACGCGACTGCGACAGCTAGTTCTCCGACATTACGTGGACCTTAGAACACTACTTCGCTTCGAGGCTGGAATGCGACACACGTCACGCAGTCTAAGGGTACTGCATCTGCGTCCTGACCTACAACTACTGTTAATGTCGGCGAAGCAGGGGAGCTCGTCTTCTCGCCGTCGTCGCTGAATGCCTCTACTAGGTCAGTCATCGCGTTCAATTTTCTGGCACTGAACTATACATTAACTGAGAGTGACCTCTGGGATCTATGCCACAGCAATTAGAGATTTGACACTGGATTTCACTAGTACAATCCGGCTAACGTAAGCGGGAAATTCGTAGTCGAGATTGAGGTCACTAGTTAGGAAGCAAAATGGTTCTTCTGCGCGCAAACAGCAAAGCGCTCTTATTGTTAAGCAGAGATAGTCTTCAGTTTAAATCTACATAGAGCGCATGCTAAATTTCTGCACAACGCCTTAGCAGGCGTTGGAACTACAGCAGCGCCGACTAACAGTATGTGTAAGCTGCCCTCAGTTCATCTAACATTAAGCAAAGCAAACACAATTATGGCCTCTACTAGCACGTCGTCCGCGAACTCCAGGAATAGCTCAGTAGCTATAGCCCCTTCTATCTTAAGTTCCTCGGGCACGACTATAAAGTTTAGTGTGTGGTCTATGTTCGTCCTCGCACTTCTATAGATAGATTAAATACAATAGAACACCTATAAACATACATTACTCTACTGTTCGCTCTTCTACCTGTGAGAGTACGGTGCACTTTACAACAGATAGCGCATTATACTGTTGTCGCCAACAGTAGTGTACTTTAGAACATGTAGCACGAATTGTGGCTTGTGAGCTGCAGTGCGCTTGCGCTTAGCGCACAGCAGTCTTCGCGCGTACATAGGGCGGAAACTAGAGGCGCTAATTGGGACTTTCTAGCCCACCCTGCGCCACCAATCTGCCCACTCATCACTTGTCGTAGCCAGCATCACCTTCATCTCTAGCGCGGCGACAGAGTCACAACGCATTATGTGTCCTTACTACCTTAGCCTCTACCTGTCTTAAACTCTAATAACGCAACAATAACGACAACAACGGGGGTCCTATACAGTAAGTCACGGCAAAGGTCTGATAGAGTGTGCTTAACTGACATCCTTAGGCCCTCCTGCTGAACAAGGCCCGAGCGGACTAAGGCGTCACATAGCGAGGGCAGTACGCGATTTCCGTACTGTGCACGATACCCGTAGCGCTCCCTCAACCCTCCTTCGAACCCTAACATCAGGGCGCGTGGCCTTGTCGTACGTTTACCGCTTGTTGATGCAACTTTATAGACAACATACTATCTACTGCAGCTCCTTCCCACTCGTCACGGCCTTGCCTAGAACCTATATTACCATGTACAAGGGACGGCAGGTACATAATTGGAGGACTCAATAGATAAATAAGGTGCTGGCAATGCGATCACATTCGTACAGCTTAAAGATAAAGTCGATGGTATCATGCAATTATATCTATGCGTGTGTGCTATCGTGCCTTCGTCGTTATGGTAATCTATTCTTCTTCTTTATCCTTTGCCCGCTTAGCATGTGCGTCATTCGAACCCCAGATTTATATACTCACTCTGCATCGGCGGCTTAAGAGTGTTTCTATACGCCAAGCAATAACTTCCTCCGGTGCCTCAGAAATCTTCTCGTACTTCAGCGCCGCATTGACTCGATCCATAATCTGACGTCGCACCTCTGTCGAGATTTGCTGCCAGTCTTGCGGCACGTGGACAGTTTGTTGCCGGGTGAACAACTCTAATGGTCAGTCGGTTCCAGAACGCGAAGTGTGAGCAACAAACCAGGAAACGCTGCCATTCCCACCAATAATAGCGAGTAGCTGCTTGGGCTCGAATCTCATCTTCCATTGAGTTAAAAGTCGCAAAGTAGAAGTGGAAATTTCCAGAAGAGTGCAGGACAGCCCGCTCAGGCCCTGCAGGTTGAGGAATTTTATGTTATTCAGTTGTGCTTGACTTAACTCGGAAGACAGAAGCGTTTCTAACATTAGGCTGCTACGCCGCTGTGGGGTGGTTACAAACAACAGGCCCACGCCACATGTTTGCATGGCACATACATGCAGCGCTTAAGAACATGGCAGTGCATGAGTGTGAGATTTGGGTTTATCTACAGGTGACATTGGTACGCGACTGGTCTAAAGTATTTACGCGACACTGTACCGCTATGTGTACAGCCTCCCTGTCCTCTACGAGACGTTCTAAATTCCCTAACCCTCTATAAATAACCACAAGATCTACAGCTACGCCATTTGCACCCGAGCATTGCCTGTGAAAGTGAGCCCTAGCTTATGGAGCTGCTAGCTTGACGTACCATTCGAGTGCAGCGGCGCCGTTGGGTGCACTTTCTGGTATTCGAAGTTTTGCTATCTGGTCGCCTGAACAATTCACTGGGTTCGCAGATGCAGACAGTGGTAGGAACGTCTCGTTCTGGAAACTCAGTGTGGCTTCGCAGTTCCGTCGTTATCGGAGGCAATGCTACTCTCAAAGCAGCAATTGTCTCACGCGATGGGCTATTGCTGCGTCGTGGCGTCGAGGCGCCTACACGACTGCCGGGTGGGCTAAAAGTGGTTGAACTACCCAAGATGAGCGGGCGGGCATTTGACCCAACAGCCGATACGCTCTGCTCCGGTCGCAAGTCGTCCGAGTCTCGCCGCTGACGCTTGCTAGGGCTGACACTGCGATGTGTGGACATAGCGGTGAACTGGTGTACGCTTGTGGGCTCTGAAGTGGCACGCTTGCGCTTCAGCAGCCCGCGTTCTTCGTCTGCCGGCGGCGTCGGGGGTAGTTCTTCGAGCCAGGAGGAGATTTGCGTGGCTCTGTCGTTGATAGTAGAGAATGATGTCGGCGGCGACGTGGCCATGATAACGTGTGCAGTGGTGGGAGTGGTGGGAGTGGTGGGTTTCGCGAAAACAGTGCTGATTTGTTGTTGCTTGGCAACTCTTGGCAAAAAGGAGATCTCCCGCTGAGAGCGTTGCCGAGTCGGACATAGCGTTCTCGCGACCATCAGCATATCTTAGTTCCGCCGCCATTGAGACACTAGAGTTGCTAAGGCGTTCCGACAGCGTTGAAACTGCCCCATAGCAGGGTAGCTTAGAGCTCGGTAATAGTTCCGACGGCTCCACAATAGACACCATAACATGACCCTCAGAAAGACCAGAAATAGCCGAGGTGACGCATGCTAGTGAGATGCGTTGAACATTCAATGCCTCCCACACAGTTACGACCGATACAGCCTATTATACCAAGCGGTATCCATGCTCTAAGCAGTTCTTCCTTTCCTAAACAAAGAATCACTGCCCTCTAGCAAGGGTATAGCTAGTGCGGGTCGGCCATCGTCCTTGTTGCGGTAGCGGAACTGCGTTTCACATCGCTCGTAAGCATGTTAATATTTGTTGTGCTTCGTGGCCTCCAGATGAAGCAGCCTAGAGTGCATTGCCGAAGTGTCCACCCTGCGCGTTGACGTCCGCGCCCTTGTCGAGAAGCATCCTCACCACCGCCTCATGGCCTCGTCCACCGCCTCAGCTGTGCCCGATCTAGTCTTTCGAGTACTGTAAACCCTCGCCGAACCGATCTCTAGTGCGCCCCATTTACTTAGGTCGCACTCATGACAGTGGATGCACTATCACACCTGTAGAGGAAAATGCGGGGTATCCGTATACATAATAGCAAGCTAGCTCTATAATCTGTACCACCAACCCATAGTTCGGAACATCCAGCTGAGAATCAGCCAATCTAATAAACCGCATAGCGATATGCACTTGTGCTGCTAGCGATCAGCTCCTCTCAGCCATCTCCGCGTAGGAATACGATTTCTTGTTTCGCATAGTACTAACAGCGGACAGGTTGCGAGATCGTGGCGAATTTGCTAACCTTGTGCTCAGCCATAACGTCGAAAGCTTCCACGTCTACTGTATTATTGTCTGTCCTCAATCTAAGGTGTTCTACAAAGCATGTACTAGGGGATTCAAGGTGAGTGAGCGTTATCGCATAGTATTCTATCCGTTGCTAAGACGATGCTAGGAGGAATTTACGGGTATTATCTAGATAGATTATGTGCCCTACATAGAACTAAAGAAACTAGTTGACTTCTTCTACGGCTCTAAGTATAATAACTGTCTACTAGAGGACGCGAACGTATCTCTACTTCAACTCTACGCTAGGATGTTTGTACTTGCAGACTAGTACGACATTCTAGGTTTGAGTAATCTAGCTGCAGAAAAGTACGCTTCTAGGTGCATCGCATTATGGATACCTTTAGAACTTCTAGTGTCACTCCAAGATGTTTATGAAACCACCACCCTCACTATCAGACGGCTACGCAACACGGCCTGCATGGCTGTTCGAAAGCATTTGCCAGGAATGCTCGATAACAAGGAGGTCGCAGAGATGTACGAAAAGGTCCTCTCTGGAACTCCCGACTTCACAAAGGATCTATTGAGATGCTACGTTAGCAATCCTTTATATGGACATTGCCAATCATGTCGCTCGCTCCAACCAATGGAAGCATTGCAAGGAAGGTGCAAGAAATGTAAGAGAGGCAATTTAGGTTTCGGTTGGTAAAGCATTTAAGAGCTGTACGGAGGTCTTGCCGAAGAGAGGTATAGATGAAGAGGCTTAAGCCTGTGTCTTTGAAACAAACCCTGCATTGAAGGCAACTCTTAGCTATGTCACTTATATTGTGGTCGATAAAATACGTCAAGGCTCTTAGTGTGCGGCGTCCTAATTACTGCTGCAGCACGCCTGAACCATCACGAACTATGGGATAGTATAGCAGGGCTTCAACAGCTGTCTAAGCTAGTTGGCGAGCGGTTGTGAGTAACTAGTAAGTATTTTACGATTTGACTCTTTCGTGCGATGTTGATATGTACCGTGGATGCACAAACGCGGGCTCGCTTAGTATGTTGAGATAACTCGCCTGGCGGTTTGGAGCGAGTGCACTTTCCAAGCACAAGAACATAAGAAGGGAAATGCCGTCGGAAGAGATCGAACAACCTAAGGGAAGAGACACTCAAGATTGAGGAGAATAGCAAGCTTCGAAAGGAGAACGAGGAAGACAAAAAGTCAAGAAAGAAGAAATAAAAGGAGAAGAAAAGGAAAGAGCAGGAACAGCAGCGAGAACCGAAGGAGTGGAATGCTAAGAAAAAGAAGAAGAAGAAGAAGAAGAAGAAGAAGAGGAAGGAAGGATGTAATGGAAAGACAGAAACAAGAAAAGCATTGCAAACGAAAGAGAAGAAGGATTACTTTTTGCCTTCCTGAGCCCTGTGCATGTAATGATCAACAACAATATACTCAACTAGAGAAGTGTAATGCCGTGAACTGCGTTAAAATGGATTCGCAAGTCCTTTTTGCTAAAGTCCTGTCCTGTACACGAGTAATGAGGGCATTTCTTACAGCCCTTGTCAAACTGCTTGTTGATGTGATCCTCTATGTGCTCTGCATAGTGGCCTGCATTTTCCATTTGTACGAAACGGCCCTGCATCATACAGTATGGACACCGACGAGGCGCTGCAAGAATGCCTTCTGCAGTGATAGGGCCATAAATGATACTGGGACTTCTAGCGTGCTGTACAGCATGTCTGTTCCAGTCTAGATCACTGGAAAGCCAGATTCCACACTCGATGCAGAATCTGGCGCGCGTTGGTATCGTTACCTGGGTAAAGAGGTCGTGTTCGATAACAAGATGTACGTGAAGATCCGTTAGAATGCTTGCTTCGTAGTCGCAGGAACCCCAATGGCATCGTAAGTTATCAGCCGTGACGTGATCGCTCATGTGGCTTGCCACCGCTTCTGCACTGTTGAATTTGTCGGAATTGCAAGAGGTCCACAGGCATCTCCATCGCCTCTCCTGCAGGGTTTTGGTGAGCTGTCTTTCTATCTCATTGTTTTTGTTCCTTTGTGAACACTTGAGCAGGTGTGCCTTCATCGGAATTCTAAATATGATGAGCCTGATCTTTATGCGCATGTAAATGGGGCTGCAGGTAAGGCTTACCGTTTCAGCCGAGCATCACACCACGGACAGCCCCCAGAGGCACTAGGCAGCGCATCTGCATAATACGGCTCATATGCGACGGATTCGGCGGCCTTAACGAAAGGGTACAGTATGTCGGGAATCGCGTGGTATGCGGCATATGACCCATATAGATAAGATATCATCATTGACCGTGTGATGTCATATTTGAGTTGAACATCTAACACATACGGCAGTGGATAGGGCGATTTGAGGCTCGCAGGTGTGCGAAAGGTCGTCGTGTCTAGGGGCGTGACCGGTTCAGAGGCTAGTATCACAGAAAAGCACTTTGCTTGTCCACGCCCAATCAAACACGTCTCGGCGTCAACGCAACTGGCTGCAGTCTTCCGTCGCTTTTCCCGCTGAGTCGCATTCCTGATGTCCCGAAGCATGGTTGCAAAAGTTTCTTCGTGTCCTGCTCGGTCCAACTGAGCCTGCATCATTGTGAAGAGTACTGATGGCTTTATACTACAAGATGAGATCACTCTGGATTTATTACCGGTTCTCCGAAGTACCGGCAGATGTGATACATCCTGTTTGTAAGGAAGAAGCAGCCACCCAGAGTGTTGGTGGCCACGAAACAACGATGCTATGTCGCTGGTGCGATCAATGCCGTCAATGACATCATCGGCAATAGCCATCGAAAGAAACAGAGTAATGGGGCACATGTGGCGCTTCGTAGGCTCATCAATCAAGATCATTGTTTTTCTTAGTAAGTGTTAGCTTCACCAGAGGATCGAAAGGCGACTCCATAATTACCCGGCCCACTTGCGGGTCGCCCGCGCATTTTCATCCCGATTATCCAGGCGGATAAGAAGCATTGCTCGAGTGGTGTTTTCAAACCGAGTAAGAAAGATCCTCGTATCGCTGTAGTACAGTCCTTCTTTGAGAGCGACATTAGGATGTAGTCCCAAATGGAATACTAATAGGATACTGAAAGCGACTTGGAGACGATAACGTGGGTGATCGAAACTGTAAGTATCGCGAGCCCAGATGAATGAAAACAGGTCGTGTAAATCAGCCTCGAGCAGTTGCGGTTTTAGTGGCTGGAACTCGTGGGCATGGTAGGACGCTGGAAAGCAGAACTCGGAAGCAAGATCGGGGGTAGTACACATTGTATTGAGTCGATGTATCAGTACTCTAATTTCCCCTCTCCCCACCTCAAGGGCATATGTAGTCGTGCACTGCGCTATAGCCGTGCGGCGTTGTGATGCCTACACAGACTCCGGGTTCGGGAAACAGAACCCTCACCAACACTGCGGCGCAATTACCACCATTAACAGTTCACCCGTTGCTGTAACTCGAGGCCGTGTTCACCGATTTGTGTTACTATCGTTCTCCACAACAATATGCTCAAACCAGTGCGAAGGATGACAAGGATGGTGAGGACGAAGAATAGACCTCGAGCCACGCGCAGCAGCAGTGCACTGCTGAACGCGTGTCCTTCAAGTGGCATATTCTTTGTAGGTGGAGCCACAACTTCTCGAATTGCGGCTGTTGGACAAAGGCCAGCGGGGTACAGCTCCCAAAGTGCCGTCTCCACTAGCGTAATGTCTTCCGGCCGTACCGTTCCGTACCGGTGGAGCGTACCTCTGTGGATGCAAGATGCACCTACTGGCCAGGAAGGTCTCTTCCAATTCAGAAAATTCCAAGTGCAGAGTCTTGTCAGTCCACAAGTGGGTTTGTGTCTTCTAGATCGTGACGCCAGATAACTCAACGTCTATCCCATGAACGAAACCCGGCTTGGCGCGGCGGCGGAGGATGTGCCTTGGCCAGCGCTGAATCCCTCTTACTGCAATCGCTTAGGAAAATGACAGTACCCGGGCGCAGAGGCGATACCTCCCTCAAGCGCCAACAACAAAAGCCCAACCGGATCATAGTGGCAGCATATTCAACCTGGAACACTAGTCCGTGGCGTGGAGCGGCTTCCTGACGCAGTGCCGCTCTTTTCCTCTCTCGTAGCCGTCAATGCCTCCCCCATGCCCCTGCGCCTGCCGCCACGCTGCTACTGTAGCACAGTACTGCCATAGAACGGCAAAGTTGTATGCTAATTCAATATTGAGTCCGCTTCTCGCCCTAGTGCTTCCTACATCTAGCAAAACGCTTTGCTGAATCTGCTGAAATGAGTTAGTTAAAGCCACATCGAGTATCGCTAATACAACTCCTAGAGGTAGGCTAGTTGTCCGGTTAGTGTGTTTGATGTTGACTCTAAATATCAGGGAAATATCGAGTCTCGCTACTAAGAATGCTGTGCCTAGGCTGCGCTACACATGAGCAATCTATATTATTACGGCTAAGCTCAGCTACACAGCATACATCGCCGCCTCTAAGCAGCTCAGAACAAGGTTGGAAACATACAGCGCCAAATCGCTGCGACAGAGCAAGAGGATTACGAACTGCTCAACCAGTAATTTATAGAGCTGCAAGAATGTTACTTTAAGCTTCTAAAGGAACACGAGAGCTCTAGGAGGCTTTACGAAAATCTCTATAAATCTGTAAGAGACTTAAAGATGTTCGCTGATAAGGTCTCTAGGCGAGCCGAAGGCCTAGTGAAGAGCTTTTGGGCCAGGCTAGGTGAAGGCGAAGCGGAGGAGTTACAGAATGGCCAAAGCATCACTGAGATGATTCTAAAGTTGGCTAAAAACGAAATGCTTGTAGAGGCAGTGTCTAGTCAGCATTCGGAAGAGGAGCATTTTACTAAGTTAAAGTACGTCATGGACCAAAAGGTGGAGTTCCAGCGACGCAACATGGAGCTTTCCAAGCAGATCGAGACACTATCCCAACCAGACTTATCAACAATCAAGCTCATTAAGCTGAGCTAACGGGATATGGTAGCTTTCTAACCGGCACGAGCTAGCGAGTTGTTATGTTAGGTTAGACCGGCTTGATGAGCTTGATTGTTGACAACTGTGATCCCAACAAGTCAAAGATGGGAAGAATGAGGTCGCAAGCCTGAACAAGGCCCTTGAGCTCGCTGCCGAAGACGGACGGCGAAAGAAACCACGGCGGGGAAAGATGTCAGCGGGTAAAGCCTAAGCAGATCTCTAAGAATAATACATCTGAGCATTTATAACTATGTGACTAAAGTACCTAATCTTTAGTTATGAAACTGCCAACTCGGTAATTCGAGTCTCTGCTACATGCTCGACTAGAAGCAACGTCGATCCAAGCGTGTCGGGACGCACGGTGTAACGGGATGCTTTCTCTTCCGGACCCCCGCGTTGTTCCTAGTGTTCTTGAGTACAAACAGGGGCAATGCGCATCTATTCTACAGCTCTCGTTCTCCCCAGCACATTAATTGATTACGTTGGTTCAACCCTTCTAACAGCCACCTGATTGATAGGTATATTCGCTGGTCAACCGACTCTGAACAGCACACAAAGACGGCCGTTGATTGGTGGAGGAAAGGTGTAATACAGTTAGGCAGCAGCCAAGGAAGTTAGATGAAGACCCCACACTTTGCGGGTCTCGGCAGCAATTCCCCCAACCGTGACAGGTCCTCAACAAGCGAAACGCTAGGCGGACAAATATATAAATTGATTTCATCTACCAAAGTGTACGTTAGCCTACGAAAATTTCTATTCGCATCAAGGGACTACTACGTGTACGAAGATCGATCATTATGAGACTCCTCGCGTTTCTTACTTTGCTCATGCCCTCCATCACTCTTGCTTTGCCAAGCTCAAGTGGTCGAGAAGATATTCAAGCCAGGGAGCTTGAGGTTCGACAGGTGAGCACGGGAACCGGGCCTGGCGGATGTGGAAGATTCGGAGAGCCTTGCAACTACAAAGCTGGCGGCGGCTGCGGAACCGGTGCTCCTGGAGCAACCTGCAACTATGGAGCTTGTTGCTTAGTAAACCCTGGAGACCTCGCCCTTAAAAGACTTGTAGGTGGATCTTTCGCTCTTAATCTACATACTGATTAAGCGTCTTGCTAACTGCTGGTCGCGGTGCAGCTCTGCCTCCCTAGAAACGGCCCATATAACGTTTGTAACTATCCCTAATTCTGAAGGAGTGTGAAGGTTATCCTTGGATGACCTAAGAGTTGGTTCTCGGGAATGAGTGAGTGCGATGGACGGGGTTTGTGTGATAGCACGATTGGTAGATCGATGTAATATCACGAGGGGTTGTATGAGAACGAAGTATAATCCTTAGATTGAATACTAGAGTCTTGTACGAAGTTGAACACAATGAACCATAAGGGTTCATTGCCTATGCTATATACTTTTGGTGATAGTCGTTCTGAGTCCTATCGCTAGTCGCGATAGTGGTGAGCGCTCCTATCGCTCGCTGCGATAGTCGTGCGCATTCCTAGCGATAGTCCTTGGCGGAGTGATCGGTCACGTGACTGCCCCCGGTCATCTACTTACAGTCATCGCTTTGGAGGGTCGCTATCCCGGCCAGGGTCGTGCGGCACGGTTGCGGCGCGGGTGTCAGCGTTTTGACCCCATGTCGTAACAAGGAGACAGAGGGTAAAGAGATGGATTATGCAAGTTCTGTTCGTTGTATGGAGTTCCTACGGGTTTAAGCTCAGGCCAGACAGAACGTGTTCCTGTCATTACTGTAGTTTTGTGAGCAACGTGATAAGTTGTACGCAGAAGATCTCTGGAAACAAGCCCGGGCTGGCAGAACGCGCTAGCATCGCTTAACGTGCATGAGCCTGCATTAGCGTTCTTATCGTCTGCTGTATTCTATCGTAAAGAATACGGCGCTATGCTAGTCCTGTATGCCTCTTAAAATAGGTGTAGCGCATATTAATAGCTTTCTAAAAACGCTTATAACCGCGCGGTTGTGCACGAGGATGCTCTGTTCCCTGCTTGAGTTTCAGGTCGCGATTAGGTAGGCGAAGATCGCGTGAACATAGCTTCTAGCACGATGCACATTAATAGCATTTCGTTATCCGCGTTAGAGCTGCTTATTAGCGTTAGACTAATACCTTGCTTAAGATGTTCTGCGTTGTTCTTAACGCTATTGTCACTGCGTTGCGTTCTGAGCCCTACGATAGTTAGCGGCGCAGATTCTCTGTGGCCAGCGTGTCCTTGAACATGCCAGCGTCCGCTAGACAGACATCCTGATGTGCTCTTACAGCAAACGACGGTGCGTAACTCGCGCTTTCTACACTATTAACGTTAGGTCGCGTCTTTAGGCAATGACTGCTTCCTGGTTTGCAGCACGGTGGCTGTCGCGCGATCATGCGCTGTCAGCCTTGTCCAGCCAGCCTCACGTCACGGCGCAGGCGGGCTGCGCCTCCTGTCCTAGGTGCTGGAGATGCAGCCTGACCTAACAAGACAGTTAACCTCACCTCTACCTTAGCAAATTGTTACTTGGCATTTGAAACAACCTAATAGCTACGATCCCTACGCCCTACGCGAGCGAGCCGCTATGCGCCGTCGATTCTGTCAGCTTGCACTGAAGCTCTAAGACTCCTTCTACCGCTCGCACTTACAGACAGATACACAGCCCTGATGCGGTTGCTACATACTACAGACGATAGGAGACTTAGGTAGACTGAGGACTTGATTAGAGACAAGATTCCTTTGTACGCGATCCTGTCGCACACTTAGAAGGAGGGGCAGGAGGTGACATTCACTAATCTAAAAGATCTAGATAATGCAGTAAACGTTAATATATAACGCAAGGAAGGATATTAGAAGATCCGCTTCTACGCGCAACAGGCTAAACAGGATAGTCTAGACTACTTCTAGGTCAACACCTGCTACATTAATAAGGCAAACAACACAGAATTGTTAAGAGCAATTAACTCTATATTCTAATAGTACTAGAATGCTAAAAGATATTATTTCTTTCTTTTAGACGTTGCGAACAACACTTTAGAAATTAATAGCAAGTTAGCGTTAAAGCAAAGCAGGTAGTTTAAGCAGGGCTAGACGCTTTAAGAGGTTCTTGCTCCTTACTCTATTAAGTTCTTCTCTAAAGAGAAGGAGCGGCTAAAGGACAAGGAGTCGCTTCAGCACCTTATACACAAGGTTACAGACATACCTATTAAAGCTCTGTCTAGAAGCGACTTGTCTGAGTTTGACGTTACTAAGCGTTTCTTGTAAGCAGCGAATTAACAGACAACAGAGGAAGAAGATAGAGCGTATTGTCTGTTTAGCATATTTAGTGTCTACCTACTGCTAATCTATAGCGAAGGCAAAGACAACGCCCTTAAACAGCTAACATGGATGGCAAGCGAGCGGCGCAGGCAAGCGAGCGGCGCACCCCACCAACTTTTGCAACTTCAAAGCGACATATCTCAACAACGCGATAATATTATTGCTAGATATTAATATAGTAGACTACTCTATATTAATAGTATCTGCGTTACATGTGCGCGAGTTGTGCCCAGTCTCCTTGCACCTAGTGCAGCGCCTTTGAGCGCGCTGGCTGAGGCCTGATCGCGCTCCTCCTTGACGCTCTTCATGAGCAATCTGCTGGTTAGCCTCATTTTGAGCCAGTATATCCTCTCCAGCGCCCTTTGTAAGTACTCCATGTTTCTGTATACGCCTTTTGGAGCGCCGCCTACGCGCTGAGGCTGCGCTGTTAGCCTTCTTAAGGCTGGTGATCCGATCGCGCATCAACTCAGCCGAGAGCATCATCACCTCAGCGCCCTTCTTGAGCTGGTCAATTGCCTCAATAATCGAAGCTGGTGATGAGCTCTTGTGCTGGCGCACGCGCTCACATATGAGGCTTGACTGAGCCTCAAGCTCACGCGCGTTGCTCGGCGTTTGAGCTACCCAGGGAGCCTCTGGCAGAGCTGCTGGAGGAGTAGGTGTACGCAGCTGTACATCTAGCTTTGATAGAACAGCCTCTGGCTGTAGAGGAACAAGGCCTGCGCCGCGGAAGGCTGAGCAGATATTGGCTGGCGTGAACGCTTGATCAAACGCTGCCTTAAACGCTGGCAGAAACTCTAGCTTGGTGATGTGGTTGATGTGGTTGCGCATAAGGCTCTCCACCTCACGGCTGTACGCGCGCTTCAATGGCGAGAAGCAGCCAACATCAAGCGGCTGGAGTAGGTGGGATGAGTGAGGAGGCATACAGAGCGTATGGATATTGTTCTCCTTACAGAGCTCCTGGAACGCTAGAGATTGGTGGCTCTTATGGCCATCAATAATAAGCAGGCGACGCGCGCCTACACTACGAGCCTGCGTGTGAGCGTTGAAGTGCTTTAGCCACTCAACTCCAAGCTCATTATTCGTCCAGCCATTGTCGCTGACTGCGATCGCCCAGTCGCGTGGGATCTCAGCTTCCTCATACCAGGCTGATAGGTGGTACTGGCCAGCGAAGATGAGGAACGGTGGGACTGACCAGCCAGCAGCGCTGATAGCAGCGATCAGCGTTACCCACTCGCGATTGCCTGGCTGAATACTCTTCCGCCTGCCTCTTCTCTCTGATCCTGTGATAACTAGCTGCGTTGTAATCTTGCCCATCATAAAGCCAGCTTCATCAAAGTTGTATGTGTCCTCATCACAGATACTAAGCTCAGCCTTTGTCTCTTCTACAAGCTTAAACCACCTCTTTATTAATGTCGCATCCTCACACAGAGCTCTCTGCCTATCGTACGCTCGGTTGAAACACGTCCGAAGACTGTCTGTACGCTTAACAAAGTTGGCTGGCCACTTCTGCCCAACCTGGCCAGCGCCGCGCGCAGCCAGCAGCTTATCAGCCATATCGCGTGCAGCTGCGTAGGTAGGCGCAAATCCGCGCTGATATAGGTGAAGTATATAGCTGACAATCACCTCCTCTTCTCTCTGGGTAAGCTTCCTTGAGTTGGGCTGGCAATCACGTCGGGCAGGTACACCAGCGCGTCGGCGGCGGAGCGTTGTTTCGGCTACGTTGTAGACTACTGCAGCAGTACGGGTACCTCGGATCTGGTGCGCATTAATAGATGAGATAGCAAGCTGAATATCTGCTTCATTTGATAGTAATTGAGTAGCGCTGCGTTGAGCCATTGTAGATTGAGATCAGTAAGGTGAGTAAAGTTGGTGGGGTGCGCCGCTCGCTTGCCTGCGCCGCTCGCTTGCCATCCATGTTAAGTATTTTACGAGTTTAGATTATTAATAATTATAAGTAGAGATCTAATGGTAGCTATACTTAGTAAGGTACTACTATAACTTATCTAAGGCTGCATGCTGTCTTGTTATTAATAATAACCCTTATGTCTCTTCGCAATACCATCTGGTGCCGACGTTCATGGCAACCCTGTGGCCGGTGCGGTTCGGCAGTCCTCCCTGCTCGTGGTGGCAAACTATAGAGAGCTTTAGGAGCACCGCCACATGGCCTTCCAGCTTCCAACATCCCCACTACGCAGCAAGAAATTTCACGGGTACTTCGACTTGAAAGCAAGTGACAAGTCTTGCAGCTTAGCTGAGGTTGCGTTTGTGCGGAGAGAGATGTGTGGGGTCAGTATCATGCTAGCTGGAAAGGGAAGCTGCTTAGTCCGAAGTACCGACCGGGGTGGCAATCATGTATACAGCTCTAGATAGTGCACGGTCACGGTAGAACCTTACCAAGTATAGTCACAACCACAGCTCTGGTAGTCCTCACCCCTCACGAACATAAACAATCCAAAACTCCTCATAACCTTCAGCGGTCAGACTAGCATATCTCTACGACACTAAGGATTGCGGTGCTCATGCAAGGGCCCGTTGGTTGTTTGACTGTACAACAGCTATATCACCAAAATATGTCCAGCATTTCTACTTTCGTATGGGCTCGCAACGACGGCGTTTCGCTGATGACGCTCAACCCACCTGTCGAAGCGCAGGCTTCAATTTCCAGGGCCACCACACTCAGCTCAGTCTTATATCCCCCCTGCTGTGTTCCCCTTCAACGAGCCGAGATGAGCTCTCTGCTGCTGCTTAGTCTAGTAACCGGCGCTGGTGGGCTCGAGAGGCATGACCATTTTTCAACAGTCGTCTCACAGAGCTGAAGGAGCAACGATGCCACCATCACAGATACCTTTTAAGTCGCCTACTTGACCTTGCCCGAAGAATTTTGACTCGAACCTATGACCAACTAAAGCGCTCACCCCCATATCGTCAACCGCCGACTGCTTCCGCTTCCGCTTCCTATGATTTCTCGATATCCCAGTATCATCGATTCTCAGTTGGGGTTTCTGCAACCTCTGCTATCGTGGTTGCCACAATAGCTATGTGCAGGAACTGGCCTCCTCTGCCATCGGTCTTCCCTTTTCTTCTCACTCCATAGCACTTCGCTCTTTCTCCTAATTCTCACTCCGCCTTGCTGCACTTAACCTTGCCCATGTACGCGAAATGAACTTCCTGACACTCCTTTTGCCGTCAGAATCGACGCCCACCCGATTCGAGGCGTTGCCCCGAAACGAAGATGCCACACTGGTCCCGAGGCCGCTATCGCTCGGAGGAGCCAATTGTAGGCCCTGACTAGCCGCCAGTGGTGGCGGTAGCTGCCCTACAGGCTCTTCTTCGGGTGCGGACTCGACCTTCGAAGGCCACCGCAGAGGGAAACTCCAACTGTGCCCGAAGATGACGGCCCCATTCACGGGAAGCGGCTCGCTCGGGCTCCGGAAGGCCCGGGCGAAGATGTTGGGGAATTTCGTGGGCAGCAATACTTGGACACGGTCGCACAGTTTACCTTCTCCACAGTGACATTTCTCGAAGGCCTTGTCTGGAATGTGCCAGTATAGATTTTTCGTCAACCAGAACCGGTTGTTGGCCGCCGGCGGATCCTTATACACACTCTCCCTTATGTCTTTAATGACCGCAGTCGTAGTAGCAAGTAGGTCCTTCCCCTTTGGTAGAATAGGCCATCGAGTGCAGAAACGGCCCACCACCGCAACAGAGACGGCATCACTATCCTCACTTCCTCGTGAAGCCTGTAAGGCGTTGCCTCCCTCACTTGCGGGAGCGGTTGCATCGACTATAGCTTCTCCCTCAGGTCGGTCCGTCAGCGGATTAGCCGCAGCGGGCACTGCAATGCCGTCTTTTCCTTCGTGAACTTGACTTTGAGCCGCAGCTTTCCCTTCAGGTTGGGCGATTGCTGTGGGTTGCACAATTTCCCCAAAACCCACGCCAAAGAGGGTGACGGCATGGATGGACCGTATAAGGTCTATCCAGCCGAGCCCGGTGTCTAGAAGCGACACTGTTTTTGGCCACACAGTTTCTTCTAACGTAGCCACATCAAAGAAATCCCACCCATCGAGATATCTTCTGGGTGAGGCACGGACTCTTGCTCCGAACCCGTCCACCGTCGATGCGTCTTCCTGAAGGTCGAAAAGCATGCTCAGAATGCCGAAAATATCGCCGACTAGATCCACCAGGTGTTCAAACGTCTGTTGTCTTTTTACGGTTGACTTTGGCTCATTGCTGCCCTCGGCGCTTGATTCGATTACAGGCCTGTTCCATCTCTCGTAAATTCGGAGGTCCATATTGTCCTTGTTGCGGAGGAATGCATCCGCCGCCGTCTTTCCTGTATGCGGCGGGTCGGCTTCTTTGGTTTCTTTGTCTTCAAAGATAACTCCTCGGCCCTTTGCCCTCCGGTGGGTAACATGCGCCCGGACGAGGTGAAGTAGGGCGCTCAGCCCGTCGACAAGCCAGGCGCGGCGGTCTTCCGGCTCGTAAAATACCACGAATCGCCGTTCCGCCCACTCGAGCTGCTTGTGGTACTCTGATGTCTTTTGTACCCGGGCAGGCTTATCTTTTTTGCCGATTGCTACCGAGAAGCCTACGGATACGAACTTCCCTCCCGAGACGGTGATGCGATCGAGCGCAATTCGAGAATTGGGCTCCTTAAGCCTCGTTCTGTCAATTACATAGTTTGCTTCGTTTGCGCCTTCATTCCAAGAGCATCAGTACATATACTCGATGGTGCAATTCAGCATGCTGGGGGAGGGGACATGACCTACCGGCGTAGTTTCTGGCGGCTTCGCACCAGCCTACGATATGACGGGCTGAACGGATGCCGGACAGAGTTAGGTATTTCATGACGTCAAAGTCTCCGACAACGGCATGAACGCGGGGGTCTGTAAAGGAAATCCGACTCCCGTCTTCATTGAACAAAACGTGCCAGTACACCGTGCCGTCGGAATACTTTGTCGGTACTAGCATCGTACAGAAGCCTTTGATGGAGACTGTGTTGCAAAAGACGGCCATGTTTCGTGTCCTCAGCAGCGCTGTCAACATGCCGAGCGAGCATTCAAGGCCTGGTTCTTGTCCTGGTTCGCGACATCGTACAGGAAAACCGGTAACAACAACCGGATTCCAGAAGAGATCCTGCCAGCACTGTCCCGTAGAGCACAAGAAGCTGTCCGATTGTTTCTGGCTAAAGTAAGCCTGGAACGACTTGCCATTGGTTTCGGCACTGATCTCAAGAATGGGGGTGATAGCTGTGATTTTGTCGGTCGACGATGATCGCAGAGCCGCTGTCATCCATCCGTATACTTCTCCAATTTCGACAATAGTTTCTACCACTCCAGCTGCTTCTACGGCAAAGCACCCAGATGGCTCAAACCACGCCGTAATTGTCGTGCTGTCAAAAAGACTGACTACATATGGCTTAGCAGATGTACCAACCCGGATACGAACGATTGACTGACTCGAATATCTCAAGCCTGGCTCGCTCAGCACAACGTGCCTCACCAGTTCCATAAAGTATTCCCCAAATAGGGGCCATGTGCGACTGAGATATTCCGCGCATGGCATCGCTTCTGTGTCCTCATTCACCCCCTGCACGAGTACAATTGCTTCTTCTATTGCATCGCCAGGCTCTTCGGCATATTCTTGCCGGGCAATAAAGGCAAGAGGGTCCCAGTCGGATTTGAGGACCATTGAACATGTTGGTGGCCCTTTCCTGCTGCTGATAAGACGATTCTGCCGTTGAGAGTACAAGGCCTGCCTGATTTGAGTGGCAATAGCATGCATCTTGTTGGCCTCCGACGCCGTAAGACTCGTCTCTCGATGCACTCGACGTACAAGCCACTGAAACGCAGTGGAGTTAGTGATAATACTTCGATACATTGATAGCTGCGAGTCATCTTCTCTCGATTTGTCACCGTCACCGTCACCGTCAACGTCATCACCTTCGTCGTCGAAGTATTGTTGCGTGTCAGGGAGAGTCTGCAATGTTGGGTCTATATCTGGATCGTCCGTCACAGGGTCCACCTGCCACCTATCGAATATTTCGTCCAGAAGCATGTCGTCCAGAGTGCGTTGTTGCAGCTTTTCGGTATCAGTGTGATCATTCAAATAACACTCCTCGAACCGGGAAGTGATTGACCTAAAACTGGCATTAGCTTTCGCCGAAGTGATCTTTCTAAACAAAAAGGGGCTGATAACACCATTTGACTGATGTAGCTTGCTGGAATATCCATTGGAACATGCGCTGAAGGACAGAAAGGAGGATGAGGGAAAGGTGGGGAATGGTGCTAAAAGTGGGCATGCTCACCCTCTTATTCCATGAATGAATTTCATCATCTTGAAGTGCTCCGGGCTTTGACTTTCGGCACCGATTCTAAGAGCAAATCCCCGAAGAAGATCGGGAAGGACTTCGTGGATCCTCTTCAAGTACTTGACGTCAGGAAGGGGCTCGGAAATCTTGAAGAAGTTGGTAGCTAGCTCTTGAGCGTAGGCTAAAGATTCAGGAATATCCGAAGTGTAGATCGATGTGTTGTCGGTTGACGATCGATCCCCTTTTCCTTCTTGATCGCCTCCCGGATCCACCGAAGTCGGGATTGTCGAGATATCAATCGTGTTCTGACCGTGTGAGGATGACCAGATATCTCGAGAGACCGCGGAGCTTGCTGTGGCGGTGATGTCTACTGTCGTTGGCGGGTACCTGGTACGGCTGTCGTGGTTCGTCTCCTCTGACCTCGGATAATTGTCTTCTGCACCCTGGCTCTCGTCTATGGCTTGGCTGTATTCTTCAATGGAGGCCGCCTTGAGAGCCGGTGAATGACCCCGGGAGCCCACAACTACTACTTGTCGAGCCACTTGGATGTTCATCTCCTTATAGAGGCTGTCTAAATTATCGATAGTGTCCAGCGTCAATGTGTGCTTCGGTCCCAGTGCATCCTCGTAGCCTTGCAACGCCCGTATGTACATCTGCTCAGCCTCGCCTAGCTTGCCTTGCTTCCTGTAGAGAAGGCCCAGGTTATTGAATGTGTTCAGCGTCGATGTGTGCTTCGGTCCAAGTGCATCCTCGTAGCCTTGCAACGCTCGTATGTACATCTGCTCAGCCTCGCCTAGCTTGCCTTGGTCCGCGTAGAGCAAGCCCAGGTTGTTAACCGTGAGGAGCGTCGATGTGTGCTTCGGTCCAAGTGCATCCTCGTAGCCTTGCAACGCCCGTATGTACATCTGCTCAGCCTCGCCTAGCTTGCCTTGCTTCCTGTAGACAAGGCCCAGGTTGTTGACTGTGTTCAGCGTCGATGTGTGCTTCGGTCCAAGTGCATCCTCTGATCCTTCCAGATCTCGTCGGTGCATCGCCTCTGCCTCGTCGTACTTTCCCTGCCTCTCCAGCACCGACCCAAGGTTGCTGACGCTGGTGAGCGTGTGTGGGTGCTCGACCCCAAGCACCTTCTCCCTGATCTCTAACGACAGTCGAATGAGCCCCTCCGCTGCCGTGTACTCTCCATGCAGCAGTAAATACCATCCTGCCCTCGAAGCGCTCTCCGCCTGCTTCTCCTCCCCTTCTCTGTCTTCCGTCCTATGCGCTACTATCTCTTTCACGTGCGGCAGCAGCACTTTGCACTGCTCCCACGTCCCGTAATCCCTACTTGGAAACGCCGCGCTCAGAGCTTCTATCGACTCCTTCACCCACCGGCCCAGTTCGCTCTCTGCCTCCAGCCACCGCCTCATCGACAGCTGCACCAGCCGGTGCATCGCCAACGCCTGCTCCCCGACCTCCGTCTTCACTAGCGAGAAGCTGAGCAACGGCGCTAGAGCGTCGTCAAAGTCTAGCTGGCTAGTGGTGCCTTGCAGCAGCCAGCGCGGAATCCCCTGCTTGTCAAACATGCTCATCAGCGCAAGCAGATCGGCCGCCTGCGGCTCCGTCGCCTGCATGTGCTGGAACGAGATCTGCCATGTCGCGATCACTGCATGCCGGATGCTGTGGTCGCGCCGAATGTCCTTCCACTCCTTCCGGCTCAGTAGGTGCACCTGGTTCGCCTCGCTCTTGTGAAACAGCTTGAGGTAGGTAGATATGGTCGTCGTAGACGCACGTGTCTTGATGTACGCTGCAGCGTGTGTGATGGCGAGAGGTATGCGCTCTAGCGCGTGGACGAGCGCCTTGGCGTCTGCTCGAGTGGCCTCGCCAAACGGCACCCTGGTGTGGAGCAGCGCCAGCGCGTCCTCTTCGCCCATCGGCTCTACCTCGACAACGCCGCCGTGTCCGCCGACAAGGTTAGTGGCTGCCACAGTGTTCCTGGACGTGATCAGGATTGTTCCGTTCGCTGTCTGTGGAAGGAAGCTCCCAAGCGGCTTGCCGCCCTGGTCATCACTAAAGAAAACGCTATCGTCATCAACGTTGTCGAGTATCATCAGCCACCGCCCGTTCCGCCCATCTGACAGCCAGGCATGCACGAGCTGCAAGACGTCTGCCTTGGGGTCTTCGCGCCCAGGCAGCAGAAGCCTGTCCGCTATGTCTCTGTATCCTTGCTGGAACCTAGTAGGACTGCTTGCGTGTATCCAGACTACTAGCACTTGCGGATCTGCAGTTTGGGTTCTGTATGCACACTCAATAGCAATCTGCGACTTCCTAGTCTCTTGTTAGTGCTACTGTCTAAAGTAGATATAGAGACAGGTAGTGCTTACCCAACACCTCCAAGCCCGACCAAAGCTACGCGTGTGTGCGAAGATGCAGCTGCTCTGCGCTCGCTAATCTTGGCGATGATGTCCTCTCGGCCGACGAACATGTCATCCTGTGCAAAGGGCACTAGAAACAGGGCACTACTAGCTAGTAGTCGCAATCTTCTATTAGCGCTCTGTCTTGCTATACGCTATACGGCAATAGTCTTACGTACATGCAACGTCCGCCGTGTCCGCAGCAACAGCTAGAGGTACCTGCTGGCCTCCTAGCTCCTGCCGCACAAAGGCCTTCAACACACCAGAGATAGCACGGTACCCCTGGTCGTCTCGGCTGCTGTATCGAGCCATCTGCATGTGGTTCGCGTCGATGCTCTCCACCGTCTCTAGCGCTCGCGGGAGGTCGAGTTTCGACGAGAAGTCGTCCACCACCTGCAGCTGTTAGCCTTGCTTTCTGATCTCTCTGCGACATATCGTTTAGAACTGTACAGAACACACCTTCGCGCTCACGCCCTTCATACCCGTAATGCCCTGTGCCTCCTGGAAGGAATAAATCTTTATAGCTCCTGCAAACACAAACGTTTTAAACTCTTCGTGGATGTTGTCCAGGACCTCGTTGTTTACTTCGAACGTCTCGAGGATCTTCTTATTCGAGTCTTGGAGAGCAAGGCGGGCGAGATTTGAGGCGATCTGACCCCAGCCTGCGTACGCGCTGCCCCGGTGCGGCGTGCCGAGGAAGATAACGAGCTTCGTCCGGCCGCGAACCATCTCTGACCGGCGGATAGCCTGCAGCGGCATGTTAGCAGAGCCGTCATTGTTGTTTAGCAGATCGCTGCGCCCTTACATCTTTGAGGATAATGCCACCAAGGCTGTGTACTACGAACGCAAGTGGTTTCTACGATAGCGTTAGACGTGCACTTGCTTTCTATAGGCAGGCTAGCACTCTACCTCGTTGTCAATCTCTCTCTCCAGCCTGACCGACAAATCTCGGCCATGCTGCGAGATGCTGTTCTTGTTGTTGGCTTGGAAAAGACCGCCAATGACGTCCGCGTTGTAGCCGTACGTCCACACGCAAGTCTGCGGGATGTCTGCTGCGAGGTACGCTTCGGGCCAGAAGACGGTGGCCCGTGGTGGTGACGATGCGGGGCTAGAGGGCGACTGCGCTTGTTCTGCGCTTGTCGATAGCGTCCTAGCTGTCCGTTGCTTGAACAGAGACTTCAGGCCTTTGGGCTTCTTAGCCGTGGTATCGCTGCTGTTGCTTGCGCTCGTCGTCGTCGTCGTCGTCGTCGCTGTCGCTGCCGCTGCCGCCGCCTCCCAGGTTCCGCGAGGATGACCTCGCAGTCCATGGACGAACACGATACTGTCGACTGTTAGCAGCTGTCCTGCGATGTGTGCGCAAACGCGACCCTACTTCAGGCCAACCTGGCTATCGTTCTGCTCGCTGGCCGTCAGCCTCGTCAAGCTGTGCCGGTGCACGGTCGTCATACGCGCTGTAGGTCTTGGAGCGCGTCAGGTTGTGGAGAGCGCTGCGGCGCTGCGCAGCATTCGGGGGCAGACTCAAGCAAGTCGAAGAATCTACAGCAGCATGTGCACCGGAAAGGGAGTATTGCAGAGGCCATGGTTCTAGCTGCGGCGGCATCGACCTCAGCCGCAGCCTCGCCCTCACGCACTGCAGCTGCACATGCAGTGCTGCTCCAGCCGGGCGTCTATTTAGAAGAAACTTAAGCGCTAGACCGCCGCTTTATCAGTAGCGCTTACGCGGCGCAAGCCACTAATACAGAAATGTGTGCTAACAGTCCATATACAGAACAGAGGCTTACTGCATACAGAAAAGGGGCTTACCAGACACAGGGAAATTAACGGACTTTGTGACAGTCGCATGAGTGAAAGCTAGGCTTCCCGTCCGCTCAGCCATATACAAGCAGTGTACCGGCGGATTAGTAGTTAGGTGGGTGACCACTAGCGAATCCCCGCTGTTGTATGTTTTTGACTATCTTTTTTTTTCGCGTCGTCGTGTTTCGTGTCCACGTATGAATGAACCTGTAAAGTACTTCGCGACTCTTCGCCCTGTCTCCGAAGAAGGAACACGCAAGGCTTTTGATCGAGGTCACGTTTTTCTAATATTGATTGAACTGCAAGCTAACCAAATAGTCGCCTGAACTTATCTGCGGGGTGGAAATAGTTTGATGGAAAGATCGACACCACCGTCGGGCATATTCGTAAATTCCAAGCCTGCACTACAGCCAACGATCTTGAAAGTTCCTCCCTACAAGGCGAAACTCGATCTTTAGCTCAAGCGAATATGTCTCAGCGTGTCAAGAAATTGAATTACGCCTCTGTGCAAATGATTTGAGCTGCCTTCTCGGCAAAAGCGTAGACGGCAGTCAAGATGTTCCCTCGTGGTACGATTGGCAACACACTTGCATCGCAGATCCGCACATTCTTTGTTCCGTACACTCTTAGCCGCTGGTCAACCACACCCCCTAGATCTTCTCTCATCAGTGAACATGTGCCACATGGATGGTAGTTGGTTGCTGAATTGATTGGGAGAATTCCTTTCGCATCCTCAAGTGACGATATCGGGTGGGGAAAGCTTCGGGGCAACCGGGTTCCCTTCGGCTTTAGCATAGCAGCGAAGGTAGGCTGCTGGAAGAGTCTCTCGATGAGCCGCAAGTGACGAGCCAGTATCTCTGTATCAAGGGGATGAGAGAGGTAGTTGAACTTGATGTCTGGCTGATGCGAAGGATCAGAGGCGATATGGCAGCTTCCACGTGAGAAAGGATGGGCCAACATGGCAACGACAGTTACGTAGTTGCCATCAACGACAGACGGCGTGCCTTTAGGAAGTGAATCAGCGTCTCTATGGCGCTGTAAGCGCAACATGAAGCTTGTGGCTGTCGCTTCGCTGGGGCTTCCAACCGCCTTTTGAATGATGGAATACTGGGCTTTCAGACTCGGGTTACTCTCTTTCTCTACCCAATGCTCAACCATCTCGACGAGCTCCTGCGTCTCAGACGGGGTTTCCAGAATCTGCAGCGGTGTGAAGGCAAAACTATATGCTCCCCCTTCCGATAATCGACCAGTGTGACTTCTTTCATATTCTTCTAATGCAGCCTTCCGCAACTCGGGATTTCGTAGTACTTCGTCATGAGTAGGGATGTCGTCTTGAGTTTCGCAGGAAAGCCCGGCATTCAGGTGATCCTGCAAATTCTCACCAACTCCTGGAAGCTCGTACAGAACCGGGATGTTTGCGCCTGCGAGTACTTTTCTGGATCCGATACCTGATCGTTCCAAAATGGCAGGAGATTCAAATACTCCCGCGCAGAGGATGATTTCTCGGCCACCGACAAAACGCTCCTCCCCTTTGCATGTGTAATGAACACCTCTAGCATTGAGTTTCTTGTCGGCGATCAAAGCATCATCAAACGCAACCTTATCGACCTTGATGCCAGTCATCAATGTTATATTGCCACGTTCCAAGGCTGGCTCTAGGAATGCAGTGCCTGCATGGCTTCGCTCGCCTTTTGAAGAGTCGATCGCATTTGTGACTGTGACGGCTCCGGGAGAGCTCTCAGTGAACCCCGAAGTATCTGTCGAATGGCCAAGCTCCTCAAAAGCTTTCAGCCAGTGAGATTGAAGGAGACCCATGGTGCGCGGGTATGATGTCTGCACACGATCCACATCGTCATTGACTCTAGGCCTGGATTGTTCTGCCTGCCATCGGCTGTAGCAACCTCTCATGCCCTGCGAGCTCCATTCTTCGCTGCCGGGACCCGATAAAAGCTCTTCCGCGATACGATCATGCCACTCATGATTTGGAAAAACGACACTGTGACTATTGATTGCACTGCTACCACCCACCAACTTCCCTCTCGGATGCTTCACCCTCCTATTGTTCAAGCCCGGCTCAGGCGCGGAAGAATATTGCCAATCGTAGGCAGGGTCCGACATCAGCGTCGTCGATAGACCAGGTGTTTGGACTTTAGGATCATCGCGAATATGTTCTCCCGCTTCTAGGACGAGAATTCGGTGATCGGGTAGCTGCTGCGAGAGTCGTGACGCGATCAAACATGAGGCTGATCCAGCTCCAACCAGGATGAAGTCGTAGACCTCGGCGTTATCGTGAAGGTTTCTGCCCGGCATTGTTCAAACAAATGTGGTGAATGTTGCGGGACAGAAAGCTGGAGGCTGCGCAGCAGTTAAGGCTACCAAGCAGTGAGGCTAAGCAGTGCGCTACAGTGTTAGCGGCAGATAAGCTTCACAGTATACTAGCAAATTTAGGTAGGTGTAAGTAGTGACCAGCGAGTCTTGTGCGCGCCTTATCCTTGTGGCGGCCATTCAAGAGGAACTTAGGCGCTAGCACCGCTGCTTCAGCAGTAGCGCTTATGCAATGCTCGCTAACATACAAGGAAATAGCACTGAACACAATATCCGTCTTTGCATGCGTTCAATGGTGTTATGACCATGATTCTCTAAAACCTTCTCTTGTATCTGGGTGGACATTTGCAAAAGAATCTAGAGTGCCGAACGAAGGCAGGCCTAACGAGGAGAGCGTTTTTGACAGCTCGTCAAGACGTATCCGCAAGGTTAGGTATTCTAGCCGCTTTCAGTTCAGGCGTCCAGGATGAACCGCCAAGATTATGCATGTGAGGGGTTCGCATTTCCATCGAATATTTACAAGGCAAGCTGCAATCTAGATAGTCTCTCCATAGGGCGCACCCTCAAGCTTAAAACCACCCGGCTGCAACCTTTGGAAGACAGCAGTCGGGTCGTATTTCTTCGCAATGGACTTAAGCTTTGCCAGTTTCTCGTCTCCATAGCTCGGAATTACGTTCTGATACGGTCCAGCATAGTTGAGGTAAATGTATTTGGTGTACACATCTCGGTTCTTCGCCTCAACCTTGGCAGCTTCCATGAAATCCAGTGCAGCCTGGTTCAGCTGATTGTCTTTAGACGCATCATCCCAGACCATATAGAGTAGGGTGTGCATCAACGGGCCATCATCGGGAGAGAGACCGAGTGCGTTACCGCCCTTCTTGCTCATCTGTTCCATAGCCGGTACGGTGAAGGCCTGGAAGGTCAAAGAACCCTGGTTGACCAAGGGACCTACGTCCTTTTGGTGGCGTGATTGTAGCCAGCCCATGAAGTCGCGATCGAGCTTGTATGTAGCCGCCCAGAAAGCGTAGCGGTGGCCACCAGGCATCTGATCAGTGAGCATAACGGTGTCGTTTGCCAACGTTCTGTTTAGAGTACTTGCTCGAATCGACGGAATATCGAGGTACTTCTTGAGGATAGCCGGTGGATTGGCCTCGTCAACAGGCTCGAGGTACTCCAATTGGATTTGTCCGGCTGCATTGCCGGCTGTCATAGCGAACGATAAAATCTGAGCCGATTTGGGATCTTCGGTAGCACTTTCAGCCATTGATGCAAAGGCATCGATAAGCGCAGGGTAATCAGGTGACATATGGACACGAGTCCCACCCCACATGGGCCCTTGAGGGATTGTCTCCAGCTCGAATCTAGTAACAACACCAAAGTTGTTGCCTCCTCCGCGAAGAGCCCAGTATAGATCGGGGAAAGCAGTCGGAGTGACTTTCAAAATGATGCCTGACGCAGTAACAACCTCGTAGGATGCGACGTTGTCACAAGCGTATCCATAGATACTAGACTGGTGCGCAATGCCACCCCCAAGAACAAGGCCAAGGCCGACATCCGATGCGCGTCCACCGATGACAGCAAGGTTCTGCTCTCCAAGCTTAGAATAGACAGCTCCCCATCGATTTCCAGGTCCGATAAAAGCAGTCTTCTTGTTGTTGGAAAGAGCAATCTCGTTCATCGCCTCCAAAGTAACAGTTATGCCATCTTGGATGCTTGAAGCGCCAGGGAATGCGGTATGTCCACCTCCCTTGACTGCGAACGGACACTGCGTAAGACGAGAGACTAATATCATGGTCGATATTTCGATCGATTTAAAAGGTCTGAAAACGCAGGCTGGGTCGACTGAGGCTGCCTGGGATGACCAATACGCGCTTGTGAACGCATCATAGGATCCTGATCCGCTAGAGAGGAGCTTGCTTCCGAATATGAGCTTTAGTGAGCTACACTGTCCAATGAATGAGCTGAAATGTTCTAGCAGGGGGAAGTATCAGGATTCTTACAGCCGCAGTACACGGACTAGAAAGCGAACGCTTCTCATTGAATGCAGCCAGGTCGGGGAGAGCGGAGACGTTGACACCGTTAGCGATAAGGGCTTCTGTAACGTTAAAGTCAGAAGGCTCAAAGGCGTTTTGTGAGGCCGCACAGGCAGCAAGAGCTCCAAACGACACAAGGATAGAAGCCTTCATGCTGACTAGGGCTAAGTGTTCGCTGATCTAAAACTTGCGGCATTCCAGCGCTATTTATTTCATGTTGCAGAGGCTCAGACCAACTGTGGGATTCGGCAGACTTTCAGATCTCCTTCCTCTTTGCGACTCGAAGGGCGTCTG